TAGTGAAATTAATTCTCAGCTATGCTTTTGCGCAAAATAAATTCTTATCGGTGCTCCCCAACATAAATTCTTCCGTATTTTTTATATTCTATTTCCTTTAATTCAGTAATTGTAATACCATTTTTTTTCTATTAGTTTCGCAAATGAAATAACAAAAGTGCAATTTCTTTTATATCTGTACACTTTTTACTTTGTACAAAAGTACAATTAAAACATACTCTTCTTTCGTTCGTAGGGGTGTCGTCTTTCTGTGGCTCGGGTCTTTGTCAGATCCCTTGCACAAACGCCACGCTGCCAGTCTCTTGGAATCCCGGAAGGAGAACAACAACGGCCGTGTGATAGTAGTCGAAGATGGTTACGAGCAGACCCTGCCGGCCAACGACAGGGAGCTCTTCAGCAGCGTGCTCGATCCCTCGGCAAGGGTAGTGGCACCCGATCGCCAGCACCGCGTCAATCCTCCAAGTCCCATCAAGCTCTACAAGTGCAGCGAGCAGTCGGGCAAGTACAAGGTCGCCGAACTCAAATCCGGCCCGATTCTACGCGACGATCTGACTTCCGGTTCTGTGTACTTGGTGGACCGGGGCGAAGCTGGCGTCTGGGCCTGGGTCGGCCGTGATGTCAACGCGCGGGAAAGATTGGAGGCCGTGAGAAACGCACGAGGTTTCATCAAGAAGAAGGATTACAGTGACGGCGTACCGGTGGCCAGGACAACGGAAGGTAGAGTTGGATTTGTTTTATCGCGTGATAGATGAATCTCTTTCAGGAGGTACACACAGTATTGTTTACAAATTTCTTAACCCCTCGAGTGTGGGATCTGAAAATGCAAAAGTGAAGTTTAAAATGTGTAAATTATATATTTTCATATATTTAGATAAGAATTTATATATTAAGAATAGATAAATAAAAATAAATAAATAGAAATCACAATTATATATTAAAGTTTTTTCAAGGTTCTGAATTTTTATACTCTTATTCTACCCTTATATTATTAAAGCCGCTGATTACGAATTTAATGTTAGAATTATAAATCTACAAACAGCGTTTTAAATACAACATAAAATTTTGCAAAATTTATAATAAAATATATTGTGTTTAATATACACATTAAAAAAAATATTATACAATATAAAAGAAAGTGTATTATTTATTTTATATAAAATTTTTATTTCGGTTGTTTAAAATAAGTTTTCAAAAATGTAAATCCTACTATATTAATTTTTCAAAAAAATAAATTTAGAAAATTTTTATTCGAAATTTGAAACCCTTGAAAAACTAAGAAATAACTTTCGCATAATTTTAATAATATTTATAAAAGAAAACTATTAATTCAATGACGTCTATAGATATCATACACTCAAGAGGTCGAGAATAAATGCAGATAAATGTAAAAAACTCAGCAGCCAAAAAAAAAAACGATAAACGTATTTAAAAATAGAAATTAATTACGCGGACGATTGAAATAAAAATAAAATGATTGAAATAAATTGGCAGAAACTAGGCTTAAGCCTTGAGAATTTTTAGGTTTTTTTTTTAAATCGTAGTAATAATACGTAACAGACAAACAAGAATAAAATGAATAAAACAAATCAAAGGTCACGAACCGGCGGAAATGAAGGCGCTGTTGAGGGGCTGGGAACCTTCAAAGATGAGGCCGTTGACTTTGCCGGTGAGTTTCGAGCCTGATTACATGAACGAGAGGCCCAGGATGGCGGCCGAGTGTCAGCTGGTGGACGACGGATCTGGCGAACGAACTTTGTGGAGGGTCGAACTAAAAGAGGGCATGGTCCAGGTGGAGGAAGATAAGGGCATCTATTACGCGGAAACCTGCTACGTGATGCTGTATAAGTACGGACAGGGACGAAGGTCTAGAAGTATTGTACGTGGAACTTTCTTCTTGTATACGCAAAAATAAAAATTTCTACACGGATTAAATAAATCAAAAATATTGAAAAAAGTGCCGAGAAAGCTTTTTCTTTTAGTATATGCAATTTTATGCGAAATATCTAAATGTTAAAATCCTTAGTAAAAAAAATTTCAATATATATATCTCATATTTTTAAGAATTTCATGTTTAAAATTTATGAAGATTTCTGAAAAGATATTTAAGAATTCTTCTTATTTTCTCCTTTCAAAAATTCAAAATAAAAAACCTTAAGACTATTTAGAATTTATAAAAAATTTTAGGAAAAATACGAATTTATATATCTCAGTACTTTTGAAGTGTTTCAATCTGTATAAAAAAATCTGAGAAATTTTTTACAGAATTATGAAATTATACCAAAATTTTAAAATTTATATAGAAATTCTAAAAAATTTTTTGCCAATGTGACATTCATTTCATGGTTAAGTACTGTAAAAAATTTCAACAATTACATCTTTCTTCTTCAGGTTTACTGTTGGGAAGGCGTCCACTCGGTCAAAATGGATCGAGATGCTGCTTTAACGGTGGCTTGTCGTCTATCTGAAGAGACGAACGCGCAGTTGGTGAAAGCGGCCCAAGGCAGAGAACCGCCTCATCTCTTGCAGATCTACGATGGAAAGCTTAAAATACTCGCTGGACGTCATCGTAATTCGCGTAAGATGTCCCTGTTATTCGGTTAAACAAAAATTTAAAAAAATAATTTAAAAAAATATATATATATATCGATGATCAAAAATAATGAATTATCAATAAAAAATCAAAAATAATAATAGCGAATTTAAATGTTTTAACAAGAACTTTGGACTTTTAAGAATCTTTCACCTTTTGTTTGACACTGAAGAGAATTCTAATTTGGACTGAAATATGAATTAAGAATTAAAGCTGTCCGACTTGATAGATTGATTCAGTTGTGTTTTGAATTGTTTGTTTGCACCCATTTATACATTATACTGCAATTTAAGATAAAATATCAAAAAAGTTTGTATATTATGCAAAGAAAAAATAGAATACTTAAATTTACATGAAAAAAAATTTGAAAAACATGCATCTTAAAGAGAACGTAGGGTTCGAATTTCTCTATTTTTTATAATAAAGATCTCGATTTGCAGCGCCAAAAAAATATCTGGTCAGAGTGTTCGGCTCGACGCCGTACACTTCAAAAGCTGTGGAACGCCCACTACGAGCAAGTAGTTTGGACTCCAGCGCGGTATTCATCCTCTTCTCCGGCGCTCCGATCGTCTGGTGCGGTGGCAAGAGCACTGGCGACGCGAGACAAACGTCGCGACGCCTCGCACCTAGAAACGCGCCTCTCATCACTGAGGGTAAAGAGAGTGACGACTTTTGGGCCGAGCTTGGAGGTAAACCAAATGAAGAAATAAAACATCTCGAATCTCAAACAACACAAAGTCTAAAATTGTGACATAAGACGTCTTTAAGTCGACTTTTAAACGTAAAAACGTCTTATGATCCGATTTTAGACACTTTTTGTTGTCTGGGATATTTTTCTAAGACACATTCATTATCACAAACATTATGTGTGATCATTGATTACGCTTAAATTTATCCTTCTCAGGAGTAGGTGCCTACAGCACGGAAACTGAAGAAGTCGGCGAGGAACTAGAAAAACACCTGTTTCAATGCCGCACTGAGAATGGCCTCTTCGTGGGCGAGCAAATCCTTGGATTCCGACAGAATTCTCTAATACCGGAAGCTGTTTGGTTGTTGGATGCTGGCAGCGTGATCTGGATATGGATAGGCAAGTTCTCCAATCCGAGGACGCTGCAAGAATGCGTCGAGGATGCCACTGTGTATCTCTACACTCATCCCGCAGGTCGAAATCGCAACACGACCATTTCCGTGATCAAACAAGGTGAGTCCCAGGCAACACACAATCAGTTCGAAAAGATCTCTTCACGATGTCTTTGTCGAGTCAACAATTTGTAAGTGATAAAAATTTAGGAAATACAGGAAATCTTCCTCCAATTTTGATGAGCTTTTAATACGTGTACTCTAAACCAAAATAAGACACACATATTTTTTTGCCTCTATACGCATTTTTAGGGGATAAAATACCCAAAATTTCTTTTGAAACGAATTCATCGAAACTGTAAAAGGTGAAAAAAAAACGTTTTAAATAACATTGTTTTAAATGAAATTATTTCAAAGTAATAATGGTAAAAAAAATTTTTTGTTCATAAAAAATAAAAACAATTTTTAAAATTCTTATTATAAAGTAGTCTTAGAATCATTCAATTTTTATTTAAAAAATTTATTTCTATCTTATAATTTCGATACTCGCTTCGAAAAAAGAATAACTGAATTTATTCGAAGGAGCATTTTATCTCCTAAGGTGCGAATGCACACATAAAAAAAAATATGTGCTTCTTATTTTAGCCTAGACATATTAAAAGCTTATTAAAAAATCGGAGGGAACATGTTTTTTTTTTAGTAATAGCTTAATTTGCCTAATATCTTTTATAGATTTATTATTTTTCAGTCCTTTCTATAGAAAAATTTTTAAATCTTTATATATTATATTTTTTTTACATTTTGTCTATATTTTTATTTTCATCGTTTCTTAGGTTTGGAGCCAGCTACATTTATCGGACTGTTTGACAATTGGAATCATAATCTACTAAGGGATTACAAACCGTTCGAGATCTTCTGCACTCTGCTGGAAGATAGAGATCAATCGGCAAGGATGCAGACGACCTCAAAGGCCACCACAGACTTCGACAATTACATCAAGTACCCGCCCTCAATGCTGAAAAGCGAACCGGATAATTTGCCGGCCGGTGTGGACGTTAGACGCAAAGAGATGCACCTGACTTATGACAATTTCATCGCAATCTTCAAAATGGAACCCGCAGAATTTGAAAAACTACCGACATGGAAAAGACAGCGCCTCAAACAAGCCGCTGGACTCTTCTAATAATGTTCTTTTTTTAACTTCGATTCCAATTCAAATATTATCCCTTCTCTTTACGGAACCGAAATTTAGAAATCATACATTTATCCTTACACAATCGCCGCAATGTTTTTATTACAAGATCAAACTGATTTTCAACCATTAAGTCTCATTGTTTGGAAAAATGTATTTATTATTATATATAGAACGCTAGATTAGTTAATGAAGTTTCATGCAGACGTGTCCATCGCTTCGGATTCGATTGTGCACACCGTCTCTTCCTCTACGATGATCGGCTGTACTGTTTTCTTAAGCACCGACGTAGTACCGGGCTTGTAACGATAGCTGATCTGCCGCTCGCCTTTTACGCTGGCGGTATCGTACGGCCGCAAATACTCGACACTGTTCTTGCGAATGATGCAGAGATCTACGTTGGATCCTGACGCAAGATCATTGAACACACCTGCACGAATAGCGTTCGCCACCAATTTTTTCGCTTCTTCTTCCTAAAACACATCCGTTTTCTCAATTCAACAACGTGAAGTTTTTAATATAAGAAATACTTTTAATATATTATTTAATATAAAAAAAGATATATACATATATATTATATATATAAATATAGAAATTAATTAATACACATAAATATAAATACATATATTAAGATCAATACACAAATCAATAAATTTTGTAATACGATAAATTTTTGTCAGCATTCACATAAAGTTATATCTAAAATAAATATTATTTTGGATTTTAGATTTGCCAAATTTTTGGGGAATTTTCTCTGAATTCTAAATTTTATAAATGTATGTATTGCACGTATTTACAAAAAAACGAAAAATTACAAAAGATTAGATATTTTTCTGTATTGTGTATTTAAAAGTAATACAAAAAATTTAGCGATTATTTAGAACCTGAATCAACAATTGTTTTAATAAGTAGATGTGTTTTTTTATATATAATTAAAATATAACGAAAAAATTTTTATTTAAATCATAAATTATATTGTTAAATATAAATGACCTCACTGAACTGTTTCACGTGTACATAACATTCATTTTTATATGAAAAGTATCTTCTAATTTCAATCACTTTTTGGAGAAACTATACATTCAATACATCTTTAAAACAGTAGTGATTATTTCAAATCTAGTAAATCTAATACTCGACTGTATTATTAAAAACTCCATACCGACATATCAGGCTTCCACGTGCTCTCGAGTACTGACATAGCAGCCAGCGAGCCAGATCCCATAGTGGTATACTTCAGCTTCTCTGTTGAACCATGAGGATAAATGCAATACAGCTGAGGTCCATCAAGATCAAAACCTCCCAGGATAAGAGCAGCACCAATATGACCCTGATAGCGGAATAGCATTTGTTTTATCAATGTATTGGCAGTGCACACAGGCACAACACGGCCAGTATTCAGACGATGCAGCTCCAATTGGCTAGCTATCATTTCTGTAGTCATTTCAGTGTCGGCAGCTGTACCAGCTCCGCAACAGCTAAAAATAATTTATATTTCTCTTAATGCATTATTCGTAAAATTAATTTTGTATAAAGATAGGATGCTATGATACTTACTACATGTTAGGAGCGAGATAGTGGATCTTCAAGCTGTATTTATCGGCTACAATAGTATCCTCAGTGGCTCGTGTATCACCACCGAGGATAACGCCATCCTTATATACTACACCTGCGATTGTGGTACCTGTTTTCTTGACTTTTGGAGTGTTAAAGCCTTTTTTGACCAAAAAAGTATTTCTGTGCAAAATAAATAAAGATTAGCAGGATCAATATGCTTTAAATTAAAAACCTATTAAATATATATTAAACGTTAAATACATGAAATATATAATATATTAATTTGTAATTTAAAATAATAAATATACCTCTAAGGTGCATATTAATCTAATAAAAACAAAATCTTGATAATTGCTTTATAGAACTTTTTTAAACTAAGTAAGCATGAAAGTTGCCAATCACTATATTAATTAAAAATCATAATTAGCACATTATTACAATATGATAAAATTATAAAAGTATGTGTGTGCCTTAGTAAACTCTTTCCTCAGAATTTTTATATAAATTAGAACACTTCAAAAATACTAAAAAAAATCTATATCTTATCTTATAATTTTTCGTATATATAAATTTTGCAATATTCTAAGATTTCTCATTTTATAATTTCTGAAAAAATTCGTTCTTTTATTCAGAAGAATGGTGATTATGAATATTGTACGACAGTTATATGATGAAAACTTTGTTAAATAAAATACTGTATTATGATGTGACACAGCAGTATACATTTTAGGTTAGTTAAAATAACTATCAGAGTTAAAAATTTATGAAACAAGATAAAGTCTTTACCTTTGACAGAGGTCGAAAGAAAAACCTGGCGGCGAGATTTCTGGTACAAGAAGTGAACTCATGATTCGTTTTGTGTGTATCAAATATCGGCAATCAAAATCACAAAACTGTTAAAAATGACACAGCTATAACAAGTAATACAGTACACAGTAACTACTTCGATACTGTTCGATACTTCGAGTTTCGATTGCGATTAGTACCCTATCAGCCATGGTAGAAGGAACTCAGTTCTAACAGCCAATAAGAACGTGACATCATATGCCGCCATGTTGCCGCGGTTATTTGAATCAGGCGTTATCAAAATAAAAAGTGATTTTCCACAAGCTTCTTCTAAAGTAATGTAACTTCTAAAGTTATGTAACTTCCACAAAAAATATGTTTTATTATAGGGGAATTATGTACCTTATTAAAAAATTTAATTGATATATGAATATATCAGATCAATTAATTTGATATTTAAAAAGTCTATATAATTAATCTAATTTAATTGATTTTTCTAAAAAAACACAAAATACTTACATATGTTAAATATCACAGATTAGAGGCATTATTTAAACTAAAAATGTAAAAATAGCATCTAATTCCATTTAAATTTTACATTATAAATGTATCAATTTAACATACAATTTATTTTTAAATTGTGTCAAGTATTACGTTTCTTATATTAATTTTTTACATAATATTTGTGTTGCTTTCTAACATATTTATTTTATGTTAAATTAACACAAAAACTTGAGTGAAATGTGTTAAATTTAACACAAATTTATATATATATATATATAATATTTAATCATTTAACAATTGAAATATTATAAAAGAGAGCAAAATACATGCTTGTGTACCCTTGCTTGCCTTTTGTTATTTTTTATATCTTGCTTTTTTGCTTCTTATCCGGTTTTTTGTTTTATATCGCCCAAGATAAAACGAATTTTAAAAGAGAAACAAGAAATACGTAGCAAAAAATACAATTGTTGATAAAACGATTGCAAAGGAGAAAAAAGCAAAAAGTAAAAAACAAGAAACAGGAAACAACAAGCACATTGTAGAATAGACTTTATTGTTTATAAGAGACAGAGTTATTTATAAGAGCGGACATCGCTTGAACGAGACGCGATACTATTGATTTATGCACGCAAGCACATTTTTGCCCCTTTCTTTGTAATGTTTCAATTGTTAATAATTACATATCTTTTTCATATATATGGTGATAATAAAATTGACAAGTTTTCTCCACAAAGTTGCTTTTGATTTATTTTGTTCGGCCTACTCTTGTGTGTGTGTGTGTGTGTGTTGCAAAGTATAATACCATAACCGTTTAGTTTCAACTCATTCCCGTTGGTCACCCTGTATATCTATAAAATTATTGATCAAATAATATTTTCCTGTTTTAACTATGGGTACTTTCCGTTTCATGCATAATGCATTTGTTATCTTTGTTGTTCATGAAATGTAAACAAGGTTAAAAGGAACATCATGCTCATTATGCGTGAAACAGAATGTACCATCTATGTACTATCAGATACTTATTTCAATGCAATATAACATACAGAAATTCGAATTAACCATTGCAATAACTTCCATGCACTACTCAAAACTACATTGACAAACATAAGAAGAAAGTTTTTTCATTCCCAGCAAACGAGAATGGATTGAAATGAATTGAAATGGATTCAGATTTTCAGAAATATTGATTCACGAATGTTAAAATGAATGCTTTTCAAACCTGAATGCATTTTTATTCATTTATAGGAATTGCATGGAGCATATCTAAATGCCTTCCAATCTAAAAATAATATATAAAGCTTTTTCTGTGCATTGTGAATACTGTTCAATTCAAAATTTTGAATAGGAAATGCAGTTTTTCAATCCAATTGCATCCAATTGAGTCTAATTAAATCCAATTGAATCCGAAAAAAAGGATTCGCTATTTGAAATACGCGCATTCGGATAGAAAAAAATTTCAATCCATTTTAATCCATTCTCGTTTGCTAGATCAGTCATGGCACATCGCTTCCTTCCTTTACTATATATACAATAGAATATAATACGCACGACATAAGAAAATCAACGATCATCACCGATTTTAAAAACTTCGTCCTACAGTTCAAAGTGTTGTTGTTTGTTGTTGCTGTTGCTGTTGCTGTTG